TCTAATTTGTTTTCAATTTCAGGAAGAATGGCTGAGCGAAGAAAAACATGACTTTATATATTCAGAATATATACTTAGTGCTACATTCACATTCTAGTGCTAATTCAGTTTTGCTTCTTTGCCTATTTGACCTAAACTGGGGGTAAGATTTTAAGGTCCTATGTTTAGAGCAGGAGAGACCTCTTTCTAATTCCTTGTAAGTTAGTGATAGGTCTGCCAGGTGGTGCTTATTTGAAAGCCCTCAGCTGGTGAGTGAACCAAGTAAGCAACCAAAAAAGCTAAAACATGGGGTTTTCTCTTTCCAGGACTTCAAGTCAGGTTTGGGAGGGTCAGAGTATGGTAAGGGTTTAGTGATATAGGACAGCCCTAAGTTTGACTCCTGGAGTCTTTCATGGTAAAGCTCATGGAATTGCCCATGGGAGCTAGAATATAGAATAGGATAGGACTTGAAAGTCACTTTGGTTTTTTGTTTCTGATTTTCCAGCTAAAAAATGAGAGAAGTACTCTTACCTCTCATTGCTTCACAAGCCTTGGAGAAATCTTAAACAATCAAGTGAAAAATCTATTTGTGCTTCCTAAGAGGAGAAAAGAATATTAACCTGAAGTGGTATTATAATGGCTTTCAAAGTGAGGGGGAAATGCCAGGAACCCATTGTGATTATTAGGTTTATACATGTTTCTATTCATGAGCCTGCAAGAAAATGTAGAGACTAAACATTGCAGAAAATGGATGCCCCAGAATAAGTTATCAGAGCAGAATGAAATATTCAGAAACTTATAAACCTATAAAATATTTTTGGAGAAAATACGAGTTTTCCAGAGTGGCAAGATTTAATATTTTGTTTTAAAAGAGTTTATTAGCTGTGAAAATGAGTAAAAATATCAGTAGGTTTCCTTTTTACCTATAATTCTCCCTTTTTTTTGCATGTCATTTGGTTTATTCAATTAGAATGGCTTGGCAAACTTATGGTATATAATCCTGATAGGTAGGTCAGGATAGTGAAAAATAAATTTTGTAGAAATTGTGCCAAGTGGTATACAACTCCAGGCTTTTTTTTTTTTTTCCCTGCAGAGTCCCATGCCCAACTGTTCTACCCGTAGCAAACTTTTCTTCACCATAAATGTAGCATCAAGTCCCATCTTGGTTTAAAAATAATACTATTTGCTGCTGGCAGGTGATGCCAATGTTTGTGGCCACCTGGAGCAGGATCTGTCATGGCTCAGTGACCCCAGTGGCTTTGGTCCAAAGCACTGATTCACTTCAAAATAAATGAATTTTTCTTCATGCTGTTGATTTCCATTGAAAGACTCCTTCAGAGTTCCATCTGAGTAAAATTCAGGGCCCAGGTCAAATTTTATCTTCCCCAGCAAGCCGTTTTCTCCTACCTTTGTCAGTATCTACCTTTTAAACTTCTGTTTCCTTGCCACAAGGACCCCTGCAGTTTAGTACTAGTACAGTATACTGTGTGTATCTGCTGTTGGATTCTTTCTGATGGATTAGACTTGGATATAGCCCCACGCCTCCTGCCACCCTTACTCTTCCCATAGGACCTGGTACAGTGCTCATAAGCATTGCTGCTTAGGAGTTTGCTAGCTAGCTAGCTAAGGACTTGCATTCCTGCAATAGCCAGTATGTTAGAACATCCAAGAAACTGTTAATGGGGCCACATTCTTAGGGTCTCGTGGTCTGTACACTGCCCAGCTCCAGGGATCACCAGTCACGTGGACCATGAAGTGAATGTCACCCATCGGAGTTATGCAACATGGCAGCCCTGAATGTCCAGGGTCTACAGGTGCCCTGTGTTTGCACATTACTGCATTACAGTGGCTGGTCTGGAGAGTCTTCCCTATCTTCTTCCTTTCATATTTTTGTCTGTTTCAATGTGAAGTTAAAAATTAGTATGAACTGAATCTAGCTCTTCCATACTCTTTAAGATAATTTTTTCAAAATGAGGTCTTGGACCCTTCCATCAGAAACACCTGGGGTGCTGGTTAAACTGCAGATTTTCAGCCTTTCAATAGACTCAATCTAGGAGTGAGGCTGGGGGTGTCAATAAGCAGGACTGATGATTTTATGCACTTCACTGAAGTGCTAGGAAATGATTATTGAACTAGTTTCTCAGTAAGGAGACTATAGAGCCTCAAAGGGTTAATACCACTTTTCTTAACCTGTTGCACCATCTATTGTAAACTTTTTCTGATTTATGTTACTTAGTAAGTAGTTGTTCTATGCCCACAACTGTGCCAGCCACAGTGGGAGAATCAGATGTGGAAAACACAGCTTTTGCCATAAAAAGGCTAATAATCTATTTGAAAATAAAAGACATACAACAAATATGTACAAATGCACATATCTGCATGTACTACACATACATGTACTTACTATAATAAGATATCTTTTTAAATGTAAATCATTATCGGTAGTACATTTCTATTGGATTGTCAGATTTTAGAGTTGAGAGATATTTTAGGGATAACATATATCTCTATACTGTAGAGTGGCTAGATTTCAATACTTCAGGAAGGTATTTGCATAAGAGAGGCAAACTCTATAGAATAGTGAGAAAAGTTTTATACAGAGTTCAAGGTTCAAAGTTGTGGCTGTAAGTCTAAGCTCTAGTGAGCAGTAAATGGTAGTTACTTCAAATATAGGAAAAATAAGATGGTTAGGGTGAGACCTATTTTAGACTTATACACTAATTTTTGAATAACTTAAACTTATTTTTATATGTATTTACAATTTTAGACCATGTAAATATAAAAATGGATAATGAATGCCTTAGCTTTATGTATCAACTATTTGGTCAGTACTTTCTATTACTTTCTATGGGACACTGAAAGAGAAGTCAAACAAGGAAGGCCCTTTTGACAGCTGTCCTATGATTATCACATTTTAACTTTATTTCACCAGAATCCTTGGCAAAATAGAATCTTCAAGTTAACCGAGGATTAACCAGAAAGCGATTTTTGCTTGCCTATTATTTCTCTCAGATTTTACTATAGTTTAAAATTTCATTTATAGTGTAAAAATTGTTTTTTTCTTTTGGTCACATGTTTATTATTGGAACATAATTTCTCATTGGATAATTTATTGGTCTAGATTAGAAGACTGTGGGAGCTTTCATTGAATCTCTGGGCCTGCTTGCTACAAAGGTGTAGACACTTAGAACTGGGAAGGAGCTACAGATGATATCGGTTAATAACTTTTGCCACTGAAGAAATTACACTTCAAGACATTTAAAGACTTAGAGCCTTTAGAACAATACCTGACTTGTAATGAGTGCCCACGAAATTTTAGCTGCTGTTTTTAGTAGAATTTGAACCCAAGTCATTTGAATTTCAGTTTGGTAATTTTTTCTCAGATGTTGCAGAATGCTTGCCAATTAATTTATTCTATTGACCCCTGGTCAGACCCTCTGGGAGTCTTTCCTTTTTTTCTCCATTTTTACCTTTTAAATCCCAATTTTTCATTCACTTTATTTTCCTTAGATCCTGTCTGTCTCTTTTTTTTAATTCTTTCTGAAAAGTGAAAACAAATTCAGAGAAATTGAGGGTTGCACTTTAAAATTTTTATTTTATTGTCCTCATCAGGGCCAGCCTGAGGTTTTCTGCTACCTTTTATAAAATTTATGCCCAGCATAACAATTTATTTTTTTAAATTTTATAATTTTACTTTTAAAAGGTTTTGTTTATATAATATTTTTACTTTTTTAATTTCACAAAATTTATTCCCAGCATAATAATGATTTTTACTGCCTTTTCTGTGCAAATACACACCCAACCTTATGCTGATGGTGGCACGACTGTTTCTTCATGGCAAGACTTAAAAAATTTCTGGAAACTTTACAAGCGTGGAATAAAAACTTTGTGGGTATAATGGGGTGGAAGTAGGAAATTTGGGGGAAACAGTAGAAACATGTGCCAAAGGTTTTTTTAATAGAAGCAAAAGAAAATATACAGGTTTCAGACACAGCTTGCTCATAAAAATGAGCAGGATTGGTAGATATATTTAAAGATGTGAAAGCCAGGACAGAATTTATTAATTTAATAATTTGTGTTCCCTCCACCCTCCAAACACACACTTTTGTTGGGAGAGGAAGACTTATAAATAATAACATGGAGCTTTAGAAAAGTAAGGTTTTTCACACTCTTTTTCTCTGTCAGTCCTCTTATAGCTTTGTATTAGAGGCTTAACAGAGGTGATGAATCAGTACTAGTACATTTGGTAGCCCATCTTGAAATGGTTTTATTTGGACAATTTAAGAACTGTCCAGCCAGAAGAGTCAGTGTAAAGTTAACAAATTGGGCTGCTGGCTTTTCTTCCCATCTTCTTTATCTTCAGGTGCAGTTTGATAAATTGTTGAGCTTTTAAAAGCTAAAATAGAGTCTTAGGGGTGTTGAGTATGTGTTTCAGGTTTTTATCTGATTTCTAAATCTACCAAAAACTTTTTAATAACTTATAAAGACTGTATTTAAGACGTGCATAATTTTATATGTGTGTTTGTGTATGCATGTTTCCTGCCACTGAAGATTGAATTCTATCCCCTATACCTAGAAAATAATCAATATATGTTGAAACAGAACAAATGAGATGATAATTTTAGCTTATTATCTTGGTTTCCATCACTGCTACGTTATTTGTGTGTGACTTGGTTTTTCTTTCCCCTTTATTTTGTTTGGTGGGATTATTAACTTTGTCTTCTTGACCGATTCCATGAGGATTTTGACTTTTATTTCTGTCGTGGTTTTATAATCTGTATGTGTGTTTAAAATTGAGTTACTTTTTCGTCATCGTTGTTCTTTTATTTTTAATGGCTGCCCGGTTCTGGGATCTGAAATCTTGACCTTGGTGTTACCAACACTGCCCTCTAAGCAACTAAGCTAATAACCTTGAGTTACTTTTTTGATAGGAAGAAATAGCAATATCCATTTAATAACAAATTTTATAAGGAAGAACCTGATTTGCTTTGTTTTAATCAACCTTTCTTTTCTCTTTTCAGAGGATGCTAAGCAAGTTTTTGAACAGACAACAATTCATCAACATATTCCATTTAACTGGGATTCAGAATTTGTGCAACTACATTTTGGAAAAGAAAGAAAAAGACACTTGACATATGCGGAATTCACTCAGTTCTTACTGGTGGGTCTAGCTCTTTAAAAAGTTAAAAAGAGTAAATAAGTAAAACCTGGGATCAAATTGTGTCTAAAAAGATACTAGCAGTTTTGACTTAAGCCCTGAACTCTCATTTACCACAAAGTTTCTAACCCTGGCAAAACCATCCCATTTAGAAGTATTTCTTTGTTAGTAGGTCAGAACCATAGCATTAAATAGGCTCTTAATAAATTGTTTGCAACCTCTTTATATTAGGAAAGAATACACATTGAGGCCCCGGTAAATCAAGTGATTTCCTCAAGGTCACTTAGGTCGGGGGGGGGGAGCAAAGTTGAAACTTGAACTTTTGGCTTGTGAATGGTTTTACCACTGTTTACCAATATTTTGTTTTCCCCTGAGAAATGAGCGGATATCATCAGCATTAATCATGGAATCATTTCATCTGTGAGTCCTTTTATAACAAGGCTCTGGGTCTCAAACTTGGCTGCATTTCAGAATCATGTGGGGAGCTTTAAAATTATTGTTGCCTGGGTCTCACCTCTAGAGATTAGATTTGAAGGGGGTATGGGGCACAGCCTGGGCATTTGGATATTTGAAGCTTCTCAAAAGGTTCTAATGGGCCCTTGCTTCCCATGGTTGAACTCTCTAGATGTCCGCATTTCTGGGGTGCGCCTTCCTGAACCCGCCTCTCTTTGTCCCTTCTCCCATTATGATATCATTGGACCACAGGTGATGACAGTGCAAGAGTATTGGCAAAATATAATTTTAGTTTAGTTTTCTTCTTGAAACATCATGTTAGAAGTGTTTTAATCCTGAGAATAGCATATGGTAACTAAAGGTCAATATCTATATGATATATAGGCCTCTATGATGAACCACTGAACCACTCTTCCTTTTGGATTTTTATGCATTTGTTTAGTTTCTCTAATAATTAAATGTTATTTATGTTTTATTAAATCTAACACTTAAAAAGATTCATTGAAGGAGATTCATTTGCTGTGTTTACATTCTGGGTCTTGAGGAAGAATTTGCCAGGGAAATAACTTTCAGCTCTTTGTTACTAGAAATGTTGTTAGTGGGTATCCTGGTGCCCCTGGTTCTTTCATGTGCCCCAGACCTTGCCAGAGCCTTCTGAGGAGTGGTTGGAAACACAGTTCTGTGGTACGTGGTCACACACACAGACACTGTGCCCTGGTGCTCATTCAGTAAGCTCTTGTGCTGTCCATCCTCAGGCACTAGCATACATAATAGGGCAACTTCAGTAGGTGCTTCTCTTTTTGATTTTAATGGTATTGTTATGATATACAGAATTTGTCATGCGTTTTCGTTTGCTATTATTTTCCCAGCTTTTGGGAACTTAAAACAAGATGCCTTAAAACTGACATTGTTTTTTTTACCTGTAAGGGGATCGTAACCCTTGGCTCGGTGTTGTCTGCACCACGCTCAGCCAGTGAGCGCACCAGCCATCCCTATATAGGATCTGAACCCGCGGCCTCGGCACTACTAGTGCCGCACTCTCCCAAGTGAGCCACGGAGCCAGCCCTATATTTTTAAAAAAATATATTAATGTCTATGAGTTCCTGTTTTCAGTTCTGTGTAAACATAAACCTACGTTACTCGGGTGGAGAATGGAATATGAGTTGTTAGATTTTTGCTGTTGTTTACACAGGACATTGGTGTGCAGTAGGAGGTGTTATTCATTTTGATAAATGATTACAGTAGTGCTGTGGAGACAAATGCCTCAAATTGACTTTATGGAAAACAGCCTAATTAACTTTTAGTCTTAATGGGATGTTCGCAGCAGTAAGGGTGATAGCATTTCCCCCTTTAAGCCAGTGTCAGTTATGCCAAATTGAGTCAATTGAAGCTTCTAGGCCTTCCTCATGGAGAAGCCAAAGTCAAGGATTAGGTGACTCAGAGATTACAGGTTATGCTTCCAGCGGCAGCTTGTAGAGCATTCATTTCTCTAATGGTGAAGAGAAACATCCACAGTGTCCTGCATGGGGTGATTTTTACTTTGTAGCCAGAATGGAAGTGCTAAACTTCTACTAGATTAAAATGGTTATGCTGGTTAGTGATCTCTGCCAGGGCCTTGCTTTTGTGCCCTGCTCCAGACCCAGATTTAAAGGAATTAATGGATGTGTCATGATAGGCTTTAGGTGAATGCTGATGAATGCCGGTTTTGATGTCTACCACTGGGTCTCTTTCCTCCGTTTCACATGTTTTCTTTGCTTCCTTTGAACTCTTTTCTGAATGCAGGTAGAGCTTCAAACCTCTACTTCAAATGCTTTGTTTGCTTCCTTTGGAATCTTTTCTGGATGCAGGTAGCTTCTTAAAGCTATAAGTGAATTTAATCTCCTATGTTTGAGGCTCTTGCTTTGTCAAGCATGCACCCGCCTTTCTGCTCTAGGGCAGGGCTCAGAAATGGGCATCACCTCCCTGGCTGGCGCCAAGGCTGTGAATGCAGATGCTTGGCTGCTTTAGATGTGAAAGAGCTGCCACCATGCATGCTACTACCTGTCACCTGATGAGGAACAGGAACAGCCATAGGGACAACTGAGAAGTGCATGTGGTTTCAGGGAGCCTGAGCCGTATGTAGAGACAACACTGCTCCATTCCACTGACAGTCCCTAGAATGTAGCTCAGGTTGGCTGTAGCCAGCATGTGTGTTACCCATGCTTACTACACATATGTGTGATTGCTGGGCAGTGCTGTTATCTACAAGTTGCAGTTTTTATCCGAGTTTGTTATAAACTACCATGTGGCTGTAAGGATCTTACTTGACTAACCTGTTCATCTGTGTGTGGTCTGGGCAAGGTCCCTACCCACTAATGCAGTAATGGGCATTGCTTAAATGGTGAGCTGATATGTCATTTTTTGTGCTTTGGTTATAAAAGTAACAAAGTGGTAAATCAATTTGATATTCTTTGAGCTACACTTAACCTTATTTGTACGTTGCGTCTAACTAATAATGTTGAAGCAAGTAGCAGCGACACAATGCCTTCTTCCTGTGGTCTGTTCCTTGTTGGTGTGGAAGGATTTCAAAAGGGAGTGGGGCTACATTTCTGTTACCCCATCATTTATTATCACAGCATCTACTGCTGCAATTTTTTTATGCCCAGTTCTTTCATCTCCACTTAACTTCATGACTGATGGTGCGTATGTGTAAATGTGAATACAGTTTTATATGTGGTATGTATGTGTATTTTTAAAAATATTCTAGAAACCACTCCATGTACATCTACTCTCAGCTCCTATAGCAAAGCTGTAGCTTTAGGGTTGCGAGTTCAAAAATGGATTTTTTATGTACCGAGTTTTTTTGAAAACCATTCGGAAATTTTTCTATTCCTTACTTGGTGGGATTCCAGTTCATATATAGTATTAACATAAAACTCTCCACCCTGTTTTGAAGTATTTTTGTGCTGTGATTATTACTCATGTGGGGCCAACCATCCAATTCAGCAAATGTTTGCAGATCATGCAGAGTTTTGTCAAGAGGCATTGTGTGAAGGGCTTAGAGGTGCAGAGACAGCTCTTGAGGCACTCAAAATGTACAAATCTAGGACTTGTACTTTTGTATATCCATCTGACAGTACAAAAGCAACTGCAAGCAGGTTTAAAATGTACACCCTGCGTTTGCTTTCTTTCAGCAAAAACCCTTAAGGATTTGTAGCATAAACTCTTGCAGAAGGTATAAATCCCAAAATCAACATTCAGAGTTTGGTTAGAGCAGCTATCCAATGTACAAACTTAAAGAGCCAGGTATGAGAATGAGGTCATCTAATTAACTGCCCCATTTTGCAGATGAGGAGACTGAGGCCTTTTACTTTATAAGCTCTTAGTGTTATCTCATTTCTTCTTTTGGTTCCCATTTCCCTAATGATGTTTTCAAGTGCTATTGGCCACTTATATATCTTCTTTGGAGAAATGTCTATTCAAATCCTTTGCCCATTTTTTATTGGGTGGATGTCATAAGCACTTGGAAGCACAGAGTGAAAGATCTCTTAAACTTTTCTAACAAATTATTCTGTAGAGTCAGTACTGAGTCACTTTCAAAAAAGAAGTAGTAATAGTAACTAATATCTATACAATTTTGTAATTTACCAAGTGCTTTTAAATATTCTGTTTCTGATAATAGCATCCTCCCAATACCCTGAGTGGTAATTATCATTATCCCCTATTTTAAGCAAAAGAATAAACAAACTCTAGGGTAAAATTTTGCATTTACAGGTAATTTCCTGGGGAAATGACCCATAGCTTTTATTGGGTTACCAAAGGAGTATCCCAAAAGAGTAAAGAGCAACCATTCTAGGGCTTAGCTTCTTCCATAAAATCACAGGCATGCATGGGATTAAACAGTATGATGCTATTTCTACTCTCCTGCACGATCTCCAGGGCCAAGGTTTTGGATAGTTATTTTATGCTACTGGAAGGGGCCATGCTCCTGAATGGGGTACCCAGTCTTGCATTGCTGGACATTTAACATTCCTGATCCCTACCTATTAATTGCCAGATATGATAATCAACAAGTCCTTAGTATGGGTGCATGTTACTGTCATTTACAAATATTTCTTGATACTCTTTTTATAATATTGGATACATATTTTACATATAATTATTATGTAAATAATAATGTACAAGTACAAGTTTTACATGTACAAGTTCCCAGTGGCTCCAACATCAGGATAGGAAAGTCTAGGATTGCTACCAAATGCTTTATTCCTGTTAGCTAAAAAAATATTGCTATTAGCTACCTCTCAAATAGCATTTTCCAGCTTAGAAAGTGCTTTTACTTGTATTTGTCTTTACAGTCACCTTAGGTGTTAAGCTAAGTAAGGCAGTTGCTATTGTTTCTGTATGAAAGATGAGCCCACAGAAGCTTAAAGAAGTTTTCTGGATTTGTTCAAGATCAGACAGATGGAACTGAAGTTGAATTTAATTTTTCTAAATCTTTAGCCATATCTTTTAAATTTTAGTGTAAAAATTATGTGAGGTGGTTATTTTTAAGTGTAGCCTGGGCCTCTCTT